AGCAAGTAGCTCATTTCAAATTGTTGACCAAAGTACCCTTAATCTCCCCAAGCTGTAAAAAAAAAAAGGTTATCTGCTTTTAGTTTAGATAAATGCATTCGATACTCATGTAATTTAGACCATGCTTCATGTTCATAATTAATCTTCTACTTCAAATTCAAATTCCATCATATTATTCATTGCACAAAAGTTTAATATTGGCCCTATATTTTGGCCAGAGTCAAATTTTCTATTATGTCATCGACCACTTTCAAACTGAGTCTTATATTTTGGATGCCGTGTCACGTCACCTCACGTGTTTGTTCAGGGTGCGAATACAAAAGGACCAAATTGATTAAATTCTCAAACTATCGGACCTCATTTGAAAGTGGTCGGATAAAAAATTGGACTTTAGTCAAATTGGACCACATTTGAATTTTTGTCTTACGTTCACGTTGCCTTTGGAACATTAATAGCACACCTAATTCTTGGTACATAATCCTTTTCGCATTATATGAACGTTAATATTGTTCGGTGGAAAATGAAGAGCCCGAAAAAATTGAACCAACTCCAAAATTAATATCAAACAAAACTTCAATTAGCATAATTTCATATATAGTAACACAACATCATCAAAGAAATAGAAACAAGAAAATAACTACTAAAAGAGGTAAAATAACAGCTCTTGATTCTCTTAGCTCAAATGATGATGAAGACTCTTGGCGGGGCGGTTTTCTGTAGTAATAAGGAAACCAATTCACTATAGGCTCCGGCGGTGGCGGCGTGACACCGTAAAAGTAAGGCGACGGAGGCGTATATGGGAATAATCTGGTGGGAGGGCTGCCGGAGAAAGAATCCGGCGGGGTGGTGGTGGCTGAAGGAATGGTGGTGGCAGGCGGAGATGTGGCGGCCGGAGGGCTTTCTCCGGGGAAGGTCGGAGGTGGATAACACGGGTACGGGCACTCGCTCTGCGGGCTAATCGTGGCCGGAAAACGGAGAATTATTGTTGAGAGAAAAATAATTTGTAAATTGTGATGGATTGTGAAGGCCATTTTTATGTTGGTTGAGTTTTGATTTGAGAGAGAATTGAGATTTTGATGGGAGTGTGTGTGTAGTGAAGACTAAGTAAAGAAGAGAGTTGGGTGCCCTTTTTTGAAGTTTAGTGAGGAAAGTTTTGGGTGTTTGATTTTGTCATGACTAATGAAGGGGCCAAAAGGTAGTTGTGTAGACCTAAAGCAAAGGTTATTTTAGGTTGCTTCATGAAGTATATGATGGACGAATGGGATCTTCAATTTCAAATTGAGTGGTTGTAACATACAATGTTCATGAATATTTTTATCTATATGGTTGAAGTTTTTAATGGTTGAAAATTGTAAATTTTATAATCATTAATTGATGATCATGATAATATGCCTTGTGGAAAATCATGTTTACTAAGATAATACTTTTCTTGAATTTTAAAGTCTACTTTGTGTAACATTTTGACCCGTACTCTAAACATATATCTTTTCTTCTAAATATTAAAAAAAAAAAAAATGTAAATTGCAGTTTTGATACATAAAGTAAAGGCCATTTTGATATTAGTACCCATTTTGAAGCATTTGCAAAATCAATACCTAAATTTTCATTCAGTTAGCAACACTAGTACCCGGCCGTTAAATCTCCGTTAAATTCTCATTAGTTGTTAACGGAAGTAGGCAAAATGGAGGAAAATTTGTATTTTTTTTATTGGAAAATTATTATTCCAAGAACTACTTGAACTAGAAGAGAAACCATTTCTTCTCATTTTTCTCGATTTTTTTTTATTTGTTTCGATTTTTTTTTTTATTTTTTTCAATTTTTTTTCTTATAAACAGTAGAGGCTGTGTTTTTGTTGAAAAAAATGGTGCAAATGCCTTATGTATATAGATTTCATTTTGAGCCAAAAAAAAAAAAGAAAGAAACATTTTCCTCCATTTTGACCACTTTCGTTAACAACAAACGGGAATTTGACGGTGATTTAATGGCGGGGTACTAACGTTGCTAACAAAATGAATGTTTGGGTACTGATTTCACAAATGTTTCAAAATGAATATTGATTTCAAAATGACTTTTATTTTTGGTATAAAAACTGCAATTTACCCATAAAAAAATTAGAAGTTAGTATATTACGTATGAACCAAGTTAATTCATTACAAACTCTTGTGGAAAGCAGTCTGACTATTAACGAGGTCGACTCGTCGTATTTTAACAAAAACACATACTTATACACCCTATGCAATACCATATTTTCTATTCATATTATTTTTAAAATATGACATTTTAATTTAAGTGCATGTACATATATTAAAAAAAGTGCAACTGCTTAATCGTTAGACCATCTAAACAATAGCCTTACTTAAAATATATGATTACCTAATTACTTAATCTTTATTTTAAATTAATATATAGTTCTTCGGTAATTCGGGTGGCTTCATGAAGTATCAACCTCACATCAGTGTGGAATATATAAATAATTGTGTGCCCTCACGCGGTCCACGCATGATGAGCCACCCACAGGCCACATGACTCTAATTTAAGTCTTACTTCAAATTTTATTGGCATTAGTTTACGTGTGCTGTAGTATTTTTATTTTCTAATAAACATATGTTAGTGATTTATTTGGGCACTTGGACTTTGTCACAAGCTTATTACAAACTTTATTTGTAGAATGAGAAAATTGAAGTGAATACTCCAAATTGTGTATTTATAGATGTTTGAGACTCCTCTCATTGCTTCCCGAACGGTAGGTGAATGGAAGTTGCATGTATCACATGTTCTTTGGTCCAAATTATTGAATTATTGCCCACTTTCGATAAAGGTTATCTTTCACATTGTTGTTTTTTCGAGTGTCTTAGTCGCCTTATTCGAATTTTATTCTGTTTCCTTGTATAAATGAATCTTCATGTCCAACCATCTGCTTAGTGGGTGTCTCGCTTTCTTCTTTGATATTCAAAAAATCTTTTCTTCATACATATTTATCTTTTTACTTAAAATTCATTATCATACAGTGGCTTTTGTTGATATTCATAGCTTGAAATAGTCGCTCATTGTATCTTCTGACACATTATGTTACACACCTTACGCTATGTGTTTTCGATTTCCAATAATCTATTTTCTTATAAGAACATCGTTTTATTTCCGAACATTGTGTTGACAAACTTAGAAGTACTCTTTGTCATGCTGTTGATGAGTAAGAATATTCCATTTGGAGAATTTAAAAAAAAAAAAAGAGAGAAATTCAAATGTATATGTTTAATCTTATTCATTTCTATAAGATACAAGCACATTCCCCATACTCACCTAGTTTAAGTTTTCTTTTAACGAATACAATGGTGTCACCTCACATGTTTTAACATGACTTAAGGCCTTTTTATCTTGCCTTATAACTTGATGAAGTGGAAAGCATGATACCATCTATTTTTACTTGTTGTTTCTAGATATATAAATATGAGTTTTAACTCCAAAACATCACCTTATTTGAAATGTGGTGTGTAATATCATCACTCATGAACTGCATTAACAATACAATTTGATAATTAAGATATTTTTGTAAAACCTGGTGCAACTGGTAAACACTGAAGCAAAGGCTCAAAATTCCATCCGTTTAAAAACTCAGACAAGTCCTACTCCTTCAATTGCCAAAACTCGTTGATATATTCTCTAATCATCATCGATAAGTTTATCGGTCTGGACATCTCTTCTAGTTACCAGGTCCACCAAATTTTGATTATAAACTTGCCAATGATAGTTAAGACTGTTATTACTAAACCCTTTTTGGCTTCCCTAGCTATGACATAAGTTTAATATATTCCTCTTTTACCCTAGAGCTATCAGATTGACTCGAACAATCTAGAATTGTCTCTTCATGTTTGATATCGTCTTATTTTCCCTCTTTTTCTAGAAAGTAGAGAAAAACTTGTACAAGTATAATAGGCTTTTTTTTATGTTTTTGACATATTTTTTTCTTGTTTTTCTTACAGTTCACTGATGGCGATCTAGCCTTGAGCAAAAGATTTTGAAGGGCGTCCCATAGAAGGGCATTAGCCATCATTATTCCTGCGACTGCACTTTAGGCTTGATCAAAGTCTATGATTTGAACTTGACCAGTCGTTGTTGCATTAAGTCGCAACTGCCCAAAATTTCTATTCACTTCTCGATGTTTTCTCTCACATGCCTAACTCATTTTGGGATAACACAAGTGTTCTCTCATTACTTTCGCTATCCGCAAGTGTACAACGTAACTATAGGTAGTGGCGCATAAGGTCGTATTCTCCAAAAAGTGTAGTTACATTAATTAAATATTAAAACAATGACGGTTAAACCTAATTAAGCTAACACAATTTTAAATGATGATTATGAACTAAGAAATTAAACTAAAACTAATTTATCAATGAAATAAAATATTAATATATATAATGAGTGAGACAAGAATGATAAATTAGACTTTACGCTAAGCTTTCCTCAAAATTAATTTATGATTTAAATTCATCCAAACCTTATTTAATTTATCAATCATGCAAAGATAATCACTAAATTAATTTAATATTAACAAGTCAAATCTTAAATATGTAGTTATCTATCTCCTCTGGGTCCTAAGATAAAAAATTTAACTCCCTAAAATTCTCGGATTTTTTGTCTCTCGTAATATTCTATCACCTCTCCTTCTATTTAGTATCTTACTTTTGAGTTTTCTAATTTTAGCAATCAACTATCTCCTCTTCGTTTCAAATCGATCACAAATATGAATTCATAATAGTCATCTACTCATACAACAAAAATAAGCATAATAAATTCATAAACGAAGGATAAACATGAATGAAAGCAAGAAAAACTAGATCATAAATCAATTCAGTACTAAAAAAATATTAGAATCTAAAATAAGGTTTACCAAATATCAGTATTATAAAACCAGGAAAATAAAAAGAAAAATATGAGTTCAGAAGTGAAAATAAAATAAAGAAAAAACTGACTCGGATTCGTCAATCTTTTTTTTTCGGTTTTCTCTCTTGTCCTGTGCGTGTTCTTAGCCTCGAAAAGTGTCTAAATTTTCTTTTTAAGAAAATCTATAAAGTACCCCTTAAGTTATTGGGGTCGAGTCCCGGTCTAAATAGGTCGAATAACTCGTCAAAAAAGAAAAGAAAACGTAAAATACATTTGACCCGCGCCTAGGGCCACACGAACCATGTGGCATGTCACACAAGCCACACTAACCGTGTGAAATTTATGATAGTTAAATTTGTTATCCTTTTGTTCCAACACGACTCTTGTCATACGTCACACGAATCACGTAACTCTTGGACATCCAAATCATCAAAACTAAAGACTTCTTTATTTGATGATGACTCCATTGTATTTTGCACAGCAGATGCCTATCAAGCTATTGGACTGGTCTCTATGTTGTCCAAATATCAAAACTTTTCAGGTCAAAAGGTTAATTTGGCTAAATCTTCAGTGTTCTTTAGCAAAAACAAAACAAAAGCTACTCAAAGAGAAATATGTCAGATCCTCCAAGAAATTCAGCCACAAAGATCCACCAGATACCTTGGGCTACCTTTGAGGATTGGGCAATCCAAGAAAGAAGTCTTTAGTTTTGTTGTGGAAGCAGTCAGGAAAAGGATTGTGAGTTGAAAAATAAATTTCTGTCCACAGCTGACAAGAAGGTATTGATAAACTCAGTGTTGAATGTTTTACCTATTTTGTCATGAGTTGTTTCAAGGTAGCTGAGGTTATATACAAGGAGGTTGCTAGAATTTTGCACAGTTCTGGTGGAGCAGAGGCTCTGACCACACCAAGGGACTACACTGGAAGAGATGGAGCCTGTTGACAATAGCAAAAAAGAATGGAGGTTTGGGGTTTAAAGATGTCAGTCTGTTCAATGAAGCTTTACAGGTGAAACAGCTTTGGAGAGTAGTTACTCAACCTCAGCTGCTAATGAGCAGGATCATAAAAAGCAGGTATTTTCAAAATTCCTTCTTATTTGATGCTGATCTTAAACAGAATTTCTCTTGGTTGTGGAGGTCCTGGTGGAAAG